TGTCCCTCCAGGACATCTCATGTGCAGAGCCCTGCTGAAGAGCACTCACATGGGAGCAATGACTTTGTTTATTTTACATAGCACAGTTATGCATTTGCTGATGACTTGCCTCTGGTGTCCCTATAACATGACAAAAGTGGAGCATTGCCAGTAATTGTGCATGTGTGGGGGCCTATCTGTGGTGCTGTATGTAGTTGAAGGTTGACTGTGGGATTTGTGTGCATAGAGGAGGTTGTTTGGGGTGTAGTGTGTATAACGGAGTCTGCTTGTGGAGTACTATGTGTGGCTAGGAACTGTAGTGTGTATGTGTTTCCACTGGATGTCAAGTGTGTGTGTCTGGGAGCTGTAGAGATTGTGTATGTCTGTCTGCCTAGCGGTTGTAGAGAGAGAGCAAGGAAGCATGTGTATGTATATGTCAATATAGTTTATATTTGAATAGGGGCTGTAGTGCGTGTGTGTCTAAAGGCAATAAAAAGTGTGTGTATATAGAGGGTGCAGTGTGTTTGTCTATGGGGTGTAGTGTGTCTAGAGGGTGTGTGCATCTGAAGGCTGTAGTGTGAGGACAAATGTATCTAAAGTGCATGTATCACATAGATTGTAGTCTGTGTATATTAATATAGACTGCAGTGTGTGTAACAGGCTACAGTGTGTATTGATTGGGGCTGTTTTGTGTGCGTGTTTGCCTAGGAGGCTTTAGTGTGTATTTATGGAGTAGTTGTGTGTGGGGGCATAAGGGTTCAGACAGCAGAGGACAAGAAAATATTAATATAAAAAAAATCAAATCATTTAAAAATATGTTTTTAAAATATTTATTCCCTTTGGCTAAGGGAGGGTATATATCAGGGGGTATCTAGTGTTCCAGTAAGCTGGAAGTACGCTACGGCTGGTGGCAAAGTTGCTTCACAGGAGCTCCAGAGCTATTGGGAGTGTTGCCATGCGACAATGCCCCCAGTGACTGGAGCTTGCAAGAATATATGTGTTATGGACAGATGAATTAAAATAAAATGGCTATTTACTAATGTCTATTTATTCTGTGTTCACTATGTTAAAACTGGCTGCTAGAGTAAATATTCCCTTCGCCCCCTACAATGTGTTCAGTTGCTGTTTACTATGTAAATTCTTCATCCTGATAAGCATCCCCCTTCAAATCAAGCAAACCTTGTGTAAACAAAATTCCTATGTTAACAGCTCCCTTTACTAACTCCTCCCCCACTACCTTTGTGCCAGTTAAACAGCTATATGCCACGTATAGCTAAATGGAGGATCATTGGTTTAGAACTGATAGATACCACTCACTCCCCCTCCCATCGTGTATCCAAAAGTCTGTAATGATGACACTACATTCTGTAGGGAGGTTTAAACAAGAGGCCCCTTTCTCTGTTAACCAATTGGTGAATGTATACTGTATGTTTAAACTGTGACGTATTTTTGCTTTAAGAAGGAGCCCCCACTCCGGGGAATAAAAGCATTCCTGGGTTTTTCACTGATCAGAAACTTTGTCTCCGGTGTGAATTACTTCTAGGGAAAGCGTGCACGCATTAATTAATCAATTTGGAAGGTGTAGATAGACAAATAATCAAAGTTTTCTTTGATCCAAAACAATTTGGTGGAGAATGCGGGCAATTAAGGGATACGTTACTAAGGCAGCCGTCAGATCCCAAGACAGGAGAACAAAGGATTCCCAGAGATTGGAAACGGAGCCTGATCACCTCTGCATATGGTAAATGAGTTACTTACCTATATTTTCCTTTCTTTGGATTTCTCTTGTTCTCCGTGCCTTCACATTCGGCTTCCGGTGTTTAACGTCTTCAGACAGGTAATATATATATGTCCGAATGTCCCCTTTTATATAGAACCTGTCACTTGTCTATCTACAGCCTGAGTCCTGAGTGAGAGTTTTATGTGTGAAAGTGTCTGTTTGAGAATCTGTTTTACAACATTGTAAATATGTTTTTAAACATAACCTGTTCTATCTAAATGGTATTATAATTTGTTTGTAATTTTTTTATATCATAATACATGTCAATAAATAAAATAAGGCCCAGGCATTAAAGGCAGAGCAACCCAGTATTAAGGTGCGGGACAGAGAAGGGGCAAGTTATGATATCAACAATGACACACACGCCAAGTCAAAGTGAGCATGTCAGTTTGCTGTCCCTCCAGGACATTTCATGTGCAGAGCCCTGCTGAAGAGCACTCACATGGGAGCAATGACTTTGTTTATTTTACATAGCACAGTTATGCATTTGCTGATGACTTGCCTCTGGTGTCCCTATAACATGACAAAAGTGGAGCATTGCCAGTAATTGTGCATGTGTGGGGGCCTATCTGTGGTGCTGTATGTAGTTGAAGGTTGACTGTGGGATTTGTGTGCATAGAGGAGGTTGTTTGGGGTGTAGTGTGTATAACGGAGTCTGCTTGTGGAGTACTATGTGTGGCTAGGAACTGTAGTGTGTATGTGTTTCCACTGGATGTCAAGTGTGTGTGTCTGGGAGCTGTAGAGATTGTGTATGTCTGTCTGCCTAGCGGTTGTAGAGAGAGAGCAAGGAAGCATGTGTATGTATATGTCAATATAGTTTATATTTGAATAGGGGCTGTAGTGCGTGTGTGTCTAAAGGCAATAAAAAGTGTGTGTATATAGAGGGTGCAGTGTGTTTGTCTATGGGGTGTAGTGTGTCTAGAGGGTGTGTGCATCTGAAGGCTGTAGTGTGAGGACAAATGTATCTAAAGTGCATGTATCACATAGATTGTAGTCTGTGTATATTAATATAGACTGCAGTGTGTGTAACAGGCTACAGTGTGTATTGATTGGGGCTGTTTTGTGTGCGTGTTTGCCTAGGAGGCTTTAGTGTGTATTTATGGAGTAGTTGTGTGTGGGGGCATAAGGGTTCAGACAGCAGAGGACAAGAAAATATTAATATAAAAAAAATCAAATCATTTAAAAATATGTTTTTAAAATATTTATTCCCTTTGGCTAAGGGAGGGTATATATCAGGGGGTATCTAGTGTTCCAGTAAGCTGGAAGTACGCTACGGCTGGTGGCAAAGTTGCTTCACAGGAGCTCCAGAGCTATTGGGAGTGTTGCCATGCGACAATGCCCCCAGTGACTGGAGCTTGCAAGAATATATGTGTTATGGACAGATGAATTAAAATAAAATGGCTATTTACTAATGTCTATTTATTCTGTGTTCACTATGTTAAAACTGGCTGCTAGAGTAAATATTCCCTTCGCCCCCTACAATGTGTTCAGTTGCTGTTTACTATGTAAATTCTTCATCCTGATAAGCATCCCCCTTCAAATCAAGCAAACCTTGTGTAAACAAAATTCCTATGTTAACAGCTCCCTTTACTAACTCCTCCCCCACTACCTTTGTGCCAGTTAAACAGCTATATGCCACGTATAGCTAAATGGAGGATCATTGGTTTAGAACTGATAGATACCACTCACTCCCCCTCCCATCGTGTATCCAAAAGTCTGTAATGATGACACTACATTCTGTAGGGAGGTTTAAACAAGAGGCCCCTTTCTCTGTTAACCAATTGGTGAATGTATACTGTATGTTTAAACTGTGACGTATTTTTGCTTTAAGAAGGAGCCCCCACTCCGGGGAATAAAAGCATTCCTGGGTTTTTCACTGATCAGAAACTTTGTCTCCGGTGTGAATTACTTCTAGGGAAAGCGTGCACGCATTAATTAATCAATTTGGAAGGTGTAGATAGACAAATAATCAAAGTTTTCTTTGATCCAAAACAATTTGGTGGAGAATGCGGGCAATTAAGGGATACGTTACTAAGGCAGCCGTCAGATCCCAAGACAGGAGAACAAAGGATTCCCAGAGATTGGAAACGGAGCCTGATCACCTCTGCATATGGTAAATGAGTTACTTACCTATATTTTCCTTTCTTTGGATTTCTCTTGTTCTCCGTGCCTTCACATTCGGCTTCCGGTGTTTAACGTCTTCAGACAGGTAATATATATATGTCCGAATGTCCCCTTTTATATAGAACCTGTCACTTGTCTATCTACAGCCTGAGTCCTGAGTGAGAGTCTGTTATCTGCCAAGTGTGGTTAAGCACTTGCAGGTTTAGCCAAGTTCGGGTTTGGTGGAAAACCTCTGGCTCTATATTTATTTTAGCTAAGCTTCGGTAAAGAAGTTATTGCGAGACTCGGTCAAGAGTTTAAAAATAAATAAATAAAATAATTTAAAAAATAAATAAATAAATAAATAAAAAAAAAAAAAATATTTTAGCTAAGCTTTGGTAAAGAAGCTAGTGAGTGATGTTTTGGCCTTGTTTGGTAAAAAACCTGGCGGTTCCTTTGTTTTATTAAGACTCGGTCAAGAGTTTAAATAGGAGCGGTTTATGTGCTTGAGTGTTTCTGTGTGTGTGATTGATTTATTATAAGCCGGCATTTATTTTAAGAACTTTGTGATTTAATTACATCTGTATTTTGTGCTTTTGTCTGTGTATGTCTTGTTGGGTACCATATATGTTAATTGTAATCTATACAATCTGTATCGTTACTCTCCTATTCTATCTTTTGTCCTAAGGAGAGCTGCGCTTAGGCAATCACATGGTTAAAAAACTTTGTGCTTGCAAGTCTTCCTCCCTCCTCCCCCCTCCTTCTTTGTTGCTTTCTCTTGCTCTGACTGCTATGAGTATTGGCTACAGGGGGGTGGGGTGAATGGGTGAAATGCTTGTAAACTCAGTGAGGAATGTGAGGGAAACAAGGTATATTTGCTGGACGAATAACCTAGTTAGGAACTTTGTGTAATCTTGTATATGTTGTTAAGCAAGAGGTTATTGGCATGTTGGAATAAGGAAAGTTAGATTTTGTTGGAACAAATGAATTGTGGAATTTATAAATGAATATCGCAGAGAAAAGTAAATTGCAGTTTGCATTTAATAGCAGCTATTCAGATGCTGTTTTGTGGCAATCTTTATACACACAATGTGAAATTGCCAATAGTGAAATTGACAAGAAATTGTTTGTTAATAAGAAAAAACAAAAGATCAGAAATGTTATGAAACTAGTCTGTACTTACAATGCATTGATTTGTAAACGAAATGCAGATCAAGAAAATTTAGAATCATCAGAAAAAGAAGTAGATTTGAATGGGTTAACAGAAGACAAATCAGATTTAAATGAACAGTGTAACAATGTAACAGAGAGCACATTGTCAGAAACAGTTTGTGAATTAGAGGATAGAGTTGAACTAAGAAATGATCTTATTTGCCAGCTTAGAAATGAAGTAAAGCTAGTGTGTGTTAATACAAGAAAAATACAGGCACAGAATCTAATCCCAGAACCAATAGATACTGAAAATGTATCCTCACAGAGTGATTTGCAGAAATATAAATTTCAAGACAGAGCTGCAAAACTTAATTTGAAGATCCATGAACAATTAATGAAAATTGTGAAATGTATTCCAGTTTATGACACGTCAGTGGATGCATTCACTAATGCTGAAATGTTTGAGTCTAATTTAGACAAATACAGCCTAAATGACGTACAAAGGAATAGACTATTTCAAATATGGCTGCTGACTCAAATGGCATGTAGGCTGACCGCGATTGTAAAATTTGAGGACAATGGTGAAATAATATATGGAAATAAGCGAGACAGATTAACACAATTAATAAAATTAACAACAGGGAATGATTTTGCAGACACTGAAATGTTGGAAAAACTAAAACCACACAAGGGGGAGGATATATTTAGTTTTCTTGTAAAATTTGAAAATGCATATAGACTTGTTGCTGATTTTTCTGAAGATCAGTTAATTAATGAATTTGTGAAAAAATTTCAAGATCTAGATCCAACTGCAATTGTGGTAGCTAGAGAAAAAAAGCACTTTGACAGAAGTAGCTTTGTTCTTGGATAACTTAAGGAGGGAAACCAAGAATGAAGGGGTTAAAACGACTTGTGGCTTTAGGCAGAGAAAGAAGTGCAGATGTTACAGCCCCCGTCCTCCTTCTTCTTCTTCTTCTTCTAGGACAGAGTGTAGAGTGATACAGACAGCTGAGCCCCTCCCAATTTATTCGACTAAATATAGGGCAGTTGATAATATAGGGCAGAATATAACTCCTAAAGTTATTTGTTTTTGGTGCATTAAACAACATTATTTAAGATCTTGCAGATATTTTATCCGAGATATCAAATCAAAAGCAAATGAGAAATTAAATTTGTTGATTGAAAATTTTGACAGAGAAAATACATGTGGAGATAAATCAATTAAAGCCTTTCCTTGTAAACTTATAATCAGACAAATAAAAGCAATTTTAGCTAAATCGAAATTAGGAGACATACAAGCAATGCAGCGTAACACAGAAAGTTATAAGAATCAGATAACTTCAAGAGATATGATCAGTTTAGGGAATGAGCATGAATATGTCTGCCAACAGAGGTACACAGGCTGATTCCAGAATTAAGAACAGCCAAGAATAGAGTTCTATGTTAGTTTGTTTTAATGAAATGTTAGTCTGAACTGTTTTTTCATTGTTTTATATGTATTTTAAGAAAGTATTAGGTTAATTAATTAAAATAAAAATGTACATCAAGTTTGCAAATATGGCAGAATGAAATACACTAATGTAGCAGTGAGGAACATGCAATGTATGTTATATTGGGTGTATGCAATTATACAGTAACTCCAATCATTTTACAGAAGGTAAAAACAATGTTGTTACTTCTGAGGTTGATTTAAAATCTTTGATTTAATTAATGAGAATGAGATTTTAATATCATGACTGATAATGGATTACTGTATATTGCAACGCCTGGACATACACATGGTTTGGATATACTGAAGACAAAAGGAATAATATATGGGAATGGATAAGGCTGATTTCCCCCTATCCACAGCCACGCCTACTCCTAAAGTAACATCGCGTACATCCTTACTATGCCCTTTTACTGTAGAATTTCCCGAATCCTAATGACCCATTCCACTACATGGTGTGACTTGTTTAAGCCTAAGATAAATTGGCTGATCAGGCTACCTGTATTAACAATGTCATCAACGATGAGTTAGCATCTGTGGAGAAGCATCACTTCAGGTTGTCCCAAATTTTCTTTTAACTTAAGTTTTAGTACATAGTAAGGCCTATGCCCAATAACTATATGCAGCCTTGTATAGCAGGCCACATGACATCTATTTGTACCAAGCAAGGCCTGCCTGACTCCTCATTCCTGTCTAACATTGTTGTCTCCTGCATAAGTGTAGATGGCTCTCCTTGGAGTAGCCTGTAAACTAAGCCTTGCTTTGTGGTTACCTTCACCTGTCCAATTAATCTGCTAGGTGCAGATGTCCTTCCCCCACTTGCAGGCCCCTATCACCTTATTATTCATTTTGTTCCACACAGTGAAACCTGACCAAGAGGCAAGGGTCCTAGCTAGTTCCCCCAATACCTTTACCTGATTATACAGGCCCCAAAGCCTGTCCAAGCTCTTACTATTCCCTAACAGGTTAAGGCTCTGGTGTCGAATGTTGCCCTGGTTACCTGAGACTTTCCATGCAATATCCCACCTCTCCTTGTGATGGACGAATTCTGTGCAGGATAATGTCACCCTGCAGGGATGATACTCTATTTACCTGGCCACTCTTCTGCCACTTCCCAAGGGGGGAAATGATAAGACACTGACTATTATCTTTTTTTTAGCCTTTTTCTTATGTTCTGTTCCGGATTTGCTGTCACTACAGTGGACCAAGTATCTCACCTCAACAATGTCTGCACAAGAAGCTGAGCTATAGACTCCCATCACACCATGCAAGATCTCTGAAGGAAGACTGAACTCAGAGGAAGCATGTGGCAGCTCTCTGGCTGACTAAGTTGTTCAAAAAGTTGTAAGTGCACTAAGGGAAGTGGACAGAAAAGTGTCTGCTGAAGAAACTCCCATATTCACCATGTAAGATCCTACCCACAGACATCAAGCTCCCGAAGGAATAACAAGCAAGCTACTGACCCTGGAAAGAAAGAAAAAAAACAAACAAACCACAAGCTGGAAACAGAAAGGGGCAACTCTTAAAGACAGGCTGTACTTCAACAATCTCAAGTTCTGCTTGCCCAAGAACATATACTCAGCAGTGGTCCAGTGGGCCTACGGAGCATCTGTCCAGAACCCTCATGAACTCTTTTGATCAATAAATACTCTGAAGTACCAGGAATTGCCTCTCTGACCAACAGTTACTGTAAATCTTGTGCCATTTGTGCCAAGGGCAACTCAAGAAGAATGGATGAAAGCCCCAAGCATCTAGCCAAACCTCATTATCTCTTCCAGAGGAGTCAAGTCGCCAGAATGCCAAAGAATGGTTGATTCAAATATGCACTAATTATAGCAGACATGTTTTCAGGATGGCCAGAGGCCTATCCAGCCACCAAAGTGATAACCAAGACCACATGCTGAGTAGTGCACCGTGAAAGATACAGAGATCACCCCGTGGGTTCATCATTCCAGAATCAAGCCTGCCTCTGCATCATGTGAAGTAACATTTGTTGATCTTGACAACCCTTTTTGAAACTCCATTCTTAGAGAACAAAGATACTTGTTGAAAATAAATAAATAAATATCAACAAGTGGGTGTTTTGATGGCCATAATAATGCCTGACCACCTGCCATCGATGGAAAGCTGAATACCCCAAAAGGGGACCTCGTGAAACTAAAGAGAAACAAACATACTCCTTACCCTGCAGCCCTCACGTCTGAGGTGCCATACGCACAGTCAAAGCTTCTTCAAGATCATCTGCTTATCTTGAGTTTGTGGTGATATTAATATTGAATGTTTAAATGATCTGAATCTGCCAGTACTAGGGTAGCATGAGACAAGATTTCTAAGAATAAGTAAATGTGCCCTAGCCTAGGTTATTATGTCCATACACATAACACATGACAATCCCCAAGGTACTCTTGACACACCTCATTCATGCTTCAGGACAAAAAGGAGTACCCCTATAAAGGGTGGTTTTACCCACACATATATATATATATGTATATTAATGCTATAGGGGTGTCAAGGGGGGTACCAAATAATTTTAAGGTAAGAAACTAAGTTTGAATCTATTCTCCCAAGCATTACGGCTAATAAAATCTGAATTGGAAGGGAAGAGGTTTATACAATAAACAGGAGACCTTTTTCTTACAGGACATGTATGACTCAGCTGAATGGGTAGGTGCCACGCATATGACTGTTAATCCCCTCAAACCACACATTAGGACTTTAAAAGACATGGTAGTCATCCCATATTTGAGGATAAGAGGGCTGTAGAGACAGGTTTCTCTGACACTAACTTGTGACTTGAATGGATGAAATACAATGCTACTAAACATAACAAGTCTAACTGCTATGTCTGCAGAGGAGCGAGGCCTCACCCAGGTACAGTATCCCTGAACCTTCCTCCGGATATGAAGTATGCGTTTTAAGTCTCTACACTGTATTTAAACCTAAGCGGTTAGCATGCGAGTCATGGAAACTTAATACCCAATCATTACTAAAAATATTATGCCCAAACGAAGGCATTACTATATATCCTGGGAACTATACTTGTTATGGGATATATGGTGGGATAGGGCGGTTACAAGCTACCTCTCAGATGACCTTCCAGAATAGAATAAGCTTTAAAATGATTTTGGCAGAAAAAGGGAGAGTATGTAAAATACTCCCAGACACCATAACATGCTGTACCTATATTCCAGACAATACAGGCCCTAATGGTAAGGTAACGTTGGCAATAGAAAAGTTAAAGAGTTTGTCCAATGAGCTGAAACAAAATTCTGGGGCCGCAGATCCATGGGAAAGATGGTTTGGATGGATGACTGGATGGCAAGGTGCTCTGGCCCAAATAGGTGTTGCCATTTTAATAACGATAATCATCCTCGCTCTTCTTGTTTGTTGTGTGTTACCCTGTCTTAAGAAATGCCTACAAAAGACAGTTGATCAGACAATCGACCAGACCACCCCGACCTTCCTTCACCAAGAGATTGACGACATCGACCGTGATACACCACATACACCCTTACAGTCCCACCGCACTAAATCAACAGCTACTTCCTCTTAAGGACATTTAGGGATAGCGTCTGTCTCTACGGGCAGAAGTCTGCCGCGGGAGAAGTAGTGGACAAGCTGCTATGGGGTACCCGCGCAGTGAAGTGTTCGAGGCCTGTTCAGACAGATGTGCAAGATAGCCTTTTGTTATTTTTCTATAGGGACAGTATTAGAATGAGAGATAGTAGTTTTAGTAAAAATTGCCATTTTAAGGGGGGACTGTTATGGACAGATGAATTAAAATAAAATGGCTATTTACTAATGTCTATTTATTCTGTGTTCACTATGTTAAAACTGGCTGCTAGAGTAAATATTCCCTTCGCCCCCTACAATGTGTTCAGTTGCTGTTTACTATGTAAATTCTTCATCCTGATAAGCATCCCCCTTCAAATCAAGCAAACCTTGTGTAAACAAAATTCCTGTGTTAACAGCTCCCTTTACTAACTCCTCCCCCACTACCTTTGTGCCAGTTAAACAGCTATATGCCACGTATAGCTAAATGGAGGATCATTGGTTTAGAACTGATAGATACCACTCACTCCCCCTCCCATCGTGTATCCAAAAGTCTGTAATGATGACACTACATTCTGTAGGGAGGTTTAAACAAGAGCCCCCTTTCTCTGTTAACCAATTGGTGAATGTATACTGTATGTTTAAACTGTGACGTATTTTTGCTTTAAGAAGGAGCCCCCACTCCGGGGAATAAAGCATTCCTGGGTTTTTCACTGATCAGAAACTTTGTCTCCGGTGTGAATTACTTCTAGGGAAAGCGTGCACGCATTAATTAATCAATTTGGAAGGTGTAGATAGACAAATAATCAAAGTTTTCTTTGATCCAAAACATATGCCCAGCCAGTCCCCATCCAGAAGTGAGACCTGATGCTTCCTGCGCTGCTCTGCATATTCTGAACATGGGGATGGAGATCTTTGCACCGGACCATTAAAATACTTTTTTTTTGTTTGGGTTGCTCTCACTGAATGTCTTTGATCTCCCTGGTGGGCCTCGGCCCTTTTCCAGTGCATCCCACTGACATTTATTCGTTTGCCCAATGACCAGTCCAGATCTGACTACAATTGTCCTGAGCAATTTCATAGTAGAATTTTACTGTACCTTTTCCTATAACATAATCCTCATGTGATGAGATGTAGTTCAATTTTCAGCTTTCTACTCTATTAATTTAGCATATGAATTGCAAGTCAGTACTATTTGCTGTGTATTACATACTGTTGTATTATTGGTGTGAACATACAATTAAAAAAAATATCCAACTTTAACCTAACCTAACATAGCAGGTATATAGGTGCCAAGAATGCTCCTTTATATTATACACCCACAGTTCAAATTAGCACATACTGTGTCTTCAATAGCAATATCAAAAATAGGTATGCTCAAACGCTGATTACGAGGTGACACTAGTATACAGCAAAAAAAATATTTGTATTATACATGTAAAGTGTTTGCAAACCTGCATGTGACAATTTGTACATTAGCTGAATCTTTGTAAGCGAAACTAATGGAATGGCATAGCCATAAATATTAAATTAGCACAGAAAATATATAATGCATTACTATGATAACAAAACGCACTCTTGGGATTGGGATTGTATTTTGTGGTTACCAGATACACAAATAAAGAACAATTTATTTGTATCTGTTTTGATTATATCTTTTTCGAGGCAATATCTCACACAGCTTGGCAGAGCATGATCCTATACTAGCTGTTATCTGTTATTTAAAGGGACACTATACTCGCCCAAACCACTTCATCTCAATGAAAGTGTCTGGCTGCAATGCCCCTGTCCTTTTAACCCTGCAATGTAAAACATTTACATTGTAGGGTTAAACACATATCTAGTGGCTGCCAGCATGACAAACACTAGAGGCACTAATGCTGCACTGACCAAGTAAAACTTGGTTATAGGATTCAGAAGCCCACATAGGAAAGCAGTGAATCAATGCTTTCCTGTGGGACATTTGTATGCCCAATAGATTGGATGTCGCTGAAGGAGGAGAGGTAAGAAACAACAAATGAGCCTCAGTACTGGAAAAAAATAAATAAATCATCTATTTGCTTTGCACATTGGGGGAGCAACTACAAAAAAGGGATAAGAACATTATAGCATTAGTAATACAGAATAGTATTCCTAATGTTATAGTGCTCCTTTGATAGATTATTTCATACAAAAGACATAAAAAATCATCAACAGAAAAATAAATAACTTAATTGCAAAATAGTTCAGAGAATGTATGCAGAGAAACAGCATTCATATACTTAAATGATCAATAAATGGGGTAACAATGCCAAAGTAGAAATAAGACCTGATTAGTAAATTCAGATTGTCCCATTAGTGAAGGTCGCATGTAAATACAAAGTTATATCCATCTACCCAATAAGAGGGAAACCCCAATATAATAAACGTGTTTGCAGACACAATTAAAGAACAGCACAGGATAACTGGTTTCAGAAAAATCATAATTACTTTGGAAAGCAGCCTAAGAGTCCTTCTTAAACAATCCATTTGCTATATTATGTATAACTCAATCAAATAATTTGTACGGCTTTTTTTTTGAATAATGAAATTATTTTCAATTTCCATGCTAAGCATTTAAGTATTAGATAATAGCAAGTGCCCTAAGCTGTATGATTGGCTTAAGGCAGCTAACTTTAAATATGTGGCAATTATATATGTGACTTCATTATATTTTAGAGTTTTCTTATTGCCAGCCACAGTTTACTGTTCATGGCAAATAAATCGATTAGTATGTAATGTAAGTGTGACGGACCCTCCGTCAATCAATGCTCCTAGTGCTTACCAAGGACCATCAGCGCTGCACCAGACACCTTAATCACTGCAGATCCCATGAACCGCCACAACTTGGCTGGGAACTCGCCGTCCTCTACCCACCCTAGACCTACGACAAGGCTCCAGGTTCCAGTGGGTGAACCTCTTCTCCAAGAGAGAGTAGCAGGAACAAACTCTTAGAAGAGCTTAGTGATTATAGCCCAGGGAAATATACAGAGTATAGCAATCCCCCAGTGTAGATGCAGCCTTCTCCCCCACACATGGGACGAGGCTCTATGTTGATGGTAAAACAGGAACTCACACAAAGTCACATCCCCTGATAGCCCCGGTCTGGGTGAACAACATATCCAAAAACCACCCAGATTGGTTCAGGGGTTCAGGAATTTCTTGGAAGTCTTATTTTTGCCCCACCGTGCACCTGGTCCCATGCCTAAAACAGTTCCATACACTTGACGACAAAACACTGCTGGAAATGTAAGATGGCCGCTGCCACATGTTTGAAAGGGGCATTGTGCTAAGTTCCAATATGCACAAATAGTGTTTTCAAATGGCAATACACCCCTGGGGCCATAGTCACAGAGCAAGAGGCTGGCAAGCAGGCCTCTCCAAAACCCAGTGGCGACGTTACTTTTGTCATAGTAAGCATCTATAAGGTTAACATAATTATATCATTTAATAGCTATAGGCTTCAAAACCCACTGCTACCTGTTCATTGACTACATTTTTTTCTTTTGAAATTGCAACATATAAATTGTGCATACAATATATAAACTGCAATTACTATTACGGCAAAAAATGATAAAGTAGTGAAATTAAATTTTGCACCAGTTTAATTTATGGCTTCTTAGGACCTCTTTGTGAATAGGTTACTCTGCAAGGATTAATGCTTATTAGATCCATAGAGGTATTCACATATGTTACAAAAAAAACATTGAATTTTGGATTTATTAGTTCCTATAATACTTATTTAGAACATGATATTTCCAGAATTCTTTATATTGCCTCAAGTCTACAATATTTACAACAGTTGGAAGTCAGATCATACAAACACATTCACCTCTAAGCGACAGAGTACAATTGAGTGCAGATATGGTCTTTTGCGATCAGTCTATGAATACACAATAACGTAAAGTTCTGCAGCCAAAAACAGAACTTTGAAATCATTATTTTCAAGCCTCTGCCCAGAGAAAGAAATTACTCTCCTCTGCCCTGAAGATATGCTGACAAACTGGTTTGGGTAAGGTGAAAACCACTTTTGGCATTTACTCAGTAAATATTTTTTCAAAGTATTTTTATAAAAGACTGTCTGTTTAGCAAAACATATATACTACTTATGCAAGCCCTCGATTATTTATTTTAGTTTTTCCTTAAAATTTTTTAAGTGTATAAATTATAAAACAAACTTTATAGTGAACCTGTTGGTTTAGAGACATTAGAAATGGCTGTGTTAGTAAATTAGGAAAAGCAGGCATTTTATTTACTATTTCCACTCAGTATAAAGCAAATCACTACTACAAAAACAATGATAAAAAAGTAGTGCAAATGTAATTGGATGACACAGGATAAAGTGCTATAGCACATAAATATACTTAGTTAATATATAAATTGTTATATGACATATATCAACTAATTCTAAGGGAGGTAAGTATAGTACTATTCAAACCACTGATTTTTATTATACAGAATTACAGGAGAAAATCAAATTTAGTGCCCATTTATAAGAAGGGATTGCCTACTCAGAAAATACAGTCCTGTGAGTTTAACATCAGTGGCTGTGAAATTATATGAAGTGTTAGCCATCATATTTAGGAATTTATTGGGAAGAAAAATGCAGTTAGTAGTAAACAACATGATTTTATCATGTATGTATCATGTCAAACTAATGTAATAGCATTCTATGAAGACACCAGAAGAAGTATTGATCAGGGTGTTGTATTGAGTGTGATTTATTTGGATTCTAGTAAAGCATTTTACGTGGTTCATTACAAAAATATACTGTGCAAACTAAAAACAATTGGTTTAGAGAAAAAACATTTTGTTTATAGAGAGACAGGGCGGTAGGTGAACGGGAAATTAGGGTCAAGGTTGGGCTTTTTCAGAATTGGGGTTACGGCTGCATGTTTAAAGGGTTGAGGAAATGTACCAGAGGAGAGGGAGAGATTGAAAATTTTAGTGAGAGCCAGGGCAAGAGAAGGAAACAAAGTGCAGATGAGATAAGAGGGAATAGGATCAAGGGAACAGGTGGTGGGATGGGAGGAACAGAGCAGAGCAGAAACCTCTTCTGCTGGTGAAAATGAGCATAGGACCACTAAGGGAGTGTGATTAGGGCAAAAGTTGGTAGTGGACAGAGAGAGATGAGAGATATCTTCCCTGATTGTATATATCTTCTCAGTGAAGTGAGTTGCAAAGTTTGTGGAGGTCATGTTGGTAAGAGGAGGAGGCACGGCAGGGTGAAGAAGAGAGTTCATGAAACAGTCGTTTAGGCTCATGGGAGAGTGTGGTTATGAGTGTATTGAAGTAGCTTTCTTTTGAAGAGGAAACAAGCCATACTGTAGGAGTGCAGAATAAATTTATAGTGGAGGAAGTCAGATGACACAAATTAGGTTGTATAATGTAATACAGAATGATCAGGATAATAAGTTAGGGTGTAAAATGTAATACAGAATGATCAGGATAATACATAATTGCTGAACAATTGGGACAAAGTAGGGGACTTGGTAGCCAAGAGGTAGATATGATTTAATATAGAGCAGTACATGCAAAGTTAGGTATTTTGGGGCGAGGAATGAACAAGCAATGTATATGCTAAATGGTAATGAGTTCGAAAAAAACATAAATGAGAAGGATTTGAACAAGAGAACTTATTTACTTTAGAAAAAGGTGACTTAGGCAGGACATGATAAGGTTATATAAATATATTCAGGACCAGTACACAGAGTTATAATTAATAGAACTGTATAAATAGGTCACCCATCTAAACTTGAAGAAAAGAGAGATTTTTACCAACGGCAAAATGTTTGCAGTAACAACAAAAATAT